GATGATGCGTGGAATGTTGAAGTTGCATATAAGCCTTCACTGAACAAAGGATTTTCGGGACGCCAAGGCGTAAGTAGATGCAAAGTGTTTGTTTAACGGTCTTAGTGAAGAAGTGAGCATTATAGGAAACTATCTGCTTGCAGCACAGGGAAGTGACGAGAAAACAGAGCTACACGAGATGAATCTGTGGTGCAATAATCGTCCACATTTGGTCAAAATGCATCGCTCATATCCTGACGCAGGTGGGTAGGGCAGTATGGTTCTTGCTAACTCTTCATGTGGGAACGTACTGAACAGCTTCCAGAAACCTCAGTCGGTAATTGCGAATGCTACGTTTAGAGTAGCCAATTGCTGCTCTAAGGAGGCTTGCATCTATTTGATCGCAAATTCTTAATAACTTAAGATATTCGCGTAATCCAGAAAGGCTGCTTTAATACCTAAAGGACTGCACTGGCCCCAAAGCGCGCGTTTCGTCCTATTAATGTTAGATGAACAATACAGCCAGTCGAGATTAACTCAGAACACTACCTATTAGATACTTCTGGATTTCACAACTACACTCCTAGCAATATACCGTTATCCGAGGTAACCGAGAGTAAAAACGCTTGTTCCGTGCGCCTTATGTGTTCGACAATACTCTATGCTGCAAGACGGATTGATGCTCCGTCGGAAATGACTTTTGCCGTTATTACAAACTGACATTCAGTAGTAATATCTCATCGTTCATATCCGATGCGATTACCCTGCATATACTATTGCCTGGGCCGAGAACCGTCGAATCCTAGTGACGTGATTACTGACAAAAATCTTTCATCTTAATGGAGGCCATGCGATAAAGCGGTAATATGCGACGGTCAATTCCGTATAAAAGAAAATATTGCCAATTTTGATGTCGAAGCGATCGACGAGGTAGAGGCGGAATCGTTTGCTGTTTAGAGCGGCTAGAAGCCTTAACATAGGTACAGAGAGTTTTTGCCTAATGACTAACAAGAGACTACTATTACCATATTGTGCTAGTATTTAATATTTACGGCAACGATATAGTTGTGCTCCGACGGATCACCGAAAATGTGCAGGAAGTACTTAATGGCCTGTTTGTTACCGACTTGACAATGTTGTTGGGTGCTGAACTCATAGAGCGCGCCAATCACGACCGCCCATCCGTAAAACCAAAAACACGCTAATACGACAGCATCCAGATGATGTACTCAAAGTTGCTGAACAATTAGCTTATCTCGGAGAGCAAAGGTCAGAGCTATTAAGCTAAGAGCGGAACAATTTGTCCGATATTAGCTAAGAGGCGATGACAACTTTCAGTATCGTGTCTTCGGTAAGACACACCATTACATTCGAAGCGTTAGCTACCCTGAATCGCAAAGTAGTAAATCGCCTATTAGTTTCTGGTTTCGCAAGCCACACGGTGCCATATGAGCAACGAAGTCGGCCTTGATCATAAAGCTGCGAAGTATTGTATTTCCGCTAACAGAAGACCCTGGTATACGATGATTCCTATCAGCAGATTGAAAATAACAGACGGTTTTTGGTGAATATATTGATTATCATGCAGAGTCACGTTATTTTTGACGGCGTGTCGTCAGGTACTGATGTACAAGGGAACGGCATAGTAAGCACACGTACGTTACAATTGTAGACCATGTCCTTATCGTACTGTTTGACAGCCTTTCTTTGTCCGCAAATAGAACTGAAGTAATAGCTTTGCTGATCCCAATAACGTCTAGAGACCAAAAACGTTCAACGTCAAGCGGTGGTTTGACGTCGTAGACGCGCGGCTACCAGCTTGCCGGCTCTGACGGGTCACCAAAAATGTGCAGGGGATACTCACTAGTTCGCTTTTGGTTGGCACGTATTAATGTGTTGACGCATATATATCTCTATCGATATCGCATAACGTCTGTACACCCAGGTGTCTTTGCAGCACTTTGACGTGAACCTGCGTATGCTCCATTGGGTTTGGCACTCGAAATCGACCAATGCACGCACGAAGCAGCACACACACACACACAAGCAATCATCCTGAAAGCCAGCGCGTAATCGGCGAAACTTTTGTCAAGCCCATTACGCGCCCCAAACGATGCCCTACAGCGCGGACATGACAGACTCTGGCTCCTCTGCCTTCTAGCACGCAAACTCTAGATTGGGGTGGATCCGATTAGTGGAGTCCAATGGATCTTGCTGTTAATATGCAGAGGAGAGGACCCGATCAAGCCGGTTTTTCTCGTTTGGGGAGCACGAGTTTCCTATATTGTACTCTGCAAACTTTTATCCGTCTTCTGTAGTGTCTTACACTAGTGCACATCATCGTATTGGATGTGTTAACTAAATTGACAGGGATTAGTGTACCATTATCATGCTTAAAAACAATAGTTTTTTGCGTATTTTGTTTATACTTGCTTGCTATACTTGATCATTGCAATCAAGTGTAACCTATGTATGATTCCTGAAGAGAATCACCTTCTGTAAATATGAACTTCCAATACCGGTGTCGGTCCGGAGAACTCAAAACATAAAAGAATAAGCCAAAGCGGCAACCGAAAGGAGAAAATGTCGGCATCAACAGAAAGAAATGCGAAGAACACGAAACAAGCAAGATGCGGTAGAAAACATCTCGAGAAGTAAAAATATTGTCGAGCATTTCCTATAGCTATGGGTGAAAGCAAATCTCTAAAATTTTTAAATCTAGCGACTTTTTCATCTAAGTGACGAACTCTATACTAAAACAGGGTTATACTCCATACATGTATGTATGCTAAGCTTTGCACATGGTTTGACACACAACACGCTTCGCCTCGGGCTCGAGATACAGGCTCGATAAGCTGCGTCTTAGTATCTTTGAGATGTAAGAAAGTACTTTACAGAAGTCTTAAGAAGTTTTCTTACAAAAGTAAGAAAGTCTTAGAAGAAAGACTTCAATAGACTTTGTGAGTTGGTGGAAAAGATTTACACGGCGGAGGCAGGGTTTTTACATTAGTTCTTTTATTTTTTAATAATATAACATTATTTTTAAATAATCTTAAAACGTTGAAGTAAAAATATAGCTTATAGGGGCAAGCAGGTTGCACGGCATTTTTTTAAAAACATCCCTTTCTTACTTCGCCTCAATCACTGTTTGATTCTGATACACCATTCCCAAGCGCCTTTTTTGTTCTATAAGCATGCTGTAAGGATCCTGTATTTTGAGTTCAATTTCAACTCAAAGTAAGTCTTAGAGATTGATGTTTCAGGCGGGAAAAGGTACATTTTCAAGACCTTTTATTCTATGCTTTTTGTCGAGACCAACGCGCTGTAAAAAGAGTTCGAGAAATTTGCTTTGCGTACGATAACGATGCCATTGGTATTAAAACTGCTTAAGAATGTTTTGCCAAATTTAAGAAAGCGATCCAGGTCCTACAGGATTCCCCCCGCTGTCCGAATCTAATGACGACCATCTGAAAGCATTTTTACGACGGCAAAACAATGACAAACGATTTAAGAACTAGCAAAAAATAGGCCACAATCACATGATCATCGTTAAACGCCTTAAGTTCCATGGGTTCACACAGAGACTTGGAGTTTGAGTACTTTTTGAATTCTCTGAGTCCAAAGGGATTACGACTTAATGTTCGATCCCAACATCCCAACCGATTTTTACACAGAATTCCCACCGATGATGAAAAGAAGCGTATCCATGCAAATATGGACCCGAAGTCCAGATGGGCGGGTCCGAAAGAGAAGCGAAAATTTAGGGTCTAATTAGATTATGCTTTCTGTTTGATAGCATTACAGAGCCCTAATTCATTGAGGATTGTTTCTTATGAGTCGGGTAGTTGATCGGTACGTTTATTTCGTTCAGTTGCATCACGTCAACCACGCTATTTAGGAGAAAAAGGCGTCAAACGATCTTAGGTCATCCTGCTTTATGACAACTTGAAACCGCGAATGGCAATCATCGTCAAAACTGCTTTCCTAGATTTCGAATGAAAGGTTTTATTGCACCCTCTACATTATTGTAAAAGTTGATAACTTACTGCCACGAAGGTAAAGAATGCGGTACTTACTATTCAGTAAAAAAGCACAGAAGCTTTGTTTCCTGCCTAATGCCTTACGCAGATATGCACTATCCCTATTTATTAGTCGCAAATGCGATAATACTTAACCGTTTTGCGTGGCCGTGAAGGTCAGGACTAAAACAATGGCCAATAGAACAAAAGCTTTATGGTAGCTAAGCGTCCGCTCCTGATTTTAGCCAAGCTTGATTTTAGGAATCCATTCAATACAACCGATAACCTGGAGAGCTTTGCTCCATTACTCTGGAGTTTAATCAAACTGCTTTTTTACTCAATGCGTGCAGCAGGGTGACATTGGGACTAAGTTCACTCACTCATAAGAATTCAATGATGGCCAATCTCGTCAATATTGAATCATATTAGATGAAACTTGGATTATGCAGCCTTGTGATTGCTTTGGATGTATTAGGTGTAATAGAATCTGAAGATAACAGAAATCATAGTTGTTAGCATTTACAGGAGCAGCGTATTAACGCCAACAAGCTGGAACTTTTAGGGATACTTATTGATATGCAAAAAAAACCCCGTAAATGACCAACTCTGCACATTGCTCCAGAGGCGTCTTCGCTTGAACGTTATACATGCAGAAGTAGCCAAATGTATGTGCAGGTAAATTTAGGTTAGTCTAAACATGCGTGTGCATTGCACCTTGTCTAGATTACTGACATCCTAGGTGATCTTAAAATTTATGATATAAAAAATATTCTGGGCGAAGTATTTAACGTTAACCTCACAGACATTGCGTATAAGAGGGAAAACCGGTGTATTAGAGATGCGGCTGTAGAAATGACAAAGGTTGTAAGATTTGCTCAAGATACTCAAGAAAACTCGGGGTTAGAGGTGACCAACACAAAGATTACGTTTAATCACTGTGGGATCAAAATAAACAAACACTTCTGGGCAACTTTTGCGTTATAGAATAGTCCAGAGTATACCTCGCTTTGCGGGAAGTATGGAGAAACACTGAACGTCAGAAAGAACTGGGTGACTGATCCATAAGTTTTCGTTTTCTTGTACCAAAAAGATTGAAATCTTGACGACAAGTTGACGAAATTGTGGAGCACTTGCTAACCAGCCACCCGAAAATCCTCCGATAAATGGCCACTAAATTCCTGCAAGAAAGCAATTTTCCGACAACAAAGACAATAACTTTCGGCAGACATTAGTAGATTTTGACGACGCTAGAAATACGAATTAAGTTGTCTTTTAGAGAGTTTGAAGATTCGTCGAACTTCCTTTTGAAGTGGTAAAAATTTACTATTATTATATTATTTGCCTTGAACTTTTTTGCCCTTAGGGACAAGACGGAAGCTAGCACTTTCAACAATGTAAAGGGACTGGGCCGGAAAAGGTTGTGAGGAACGAAAGATGGACGAAAAGAACAGGAGCAGGAGAGAGGGAGTATAGGGAGAGAACGAAGACCTACAGCAGATGCCCTTGCGAGATCGGGGGTGAATGCCTGGCAGTTCTGGTGGGCAAAGAAACCGAGCACACACGCAGTTTTTTTAGATGAAGAAAATAGAAAATTAATGGACGGACACCACAGAAGGTTCCCACTACTAATTGATGATGTCCACAAAAAAAAAGTCTTCGATGGAGAGTAAGCACAGTACTAATCCATTAAAGCTTCTTACCATCTGGAAGAGCCTTCATAAACTGGCTTTGGGGATTCACAGTTTCGCTACGGTGGAGATGCTAAATGCTCAAATGGACAACAAGGAGTAGTAGTATAGACTATAGTAAAGGCTAAAAAAGTGGCGGACATTCCGACAGAAAGAAAAAGGTGAAGACATGGCCACAAAACTAGACAGAACAGATAATAACTCATTCAATTCAGCTATCAAAGTCGCAAAACTGTCGCAAGAAGTCCTTCAAAGACGGAAAAAAATTATGCAAACTTTAGCAAAAATATCACATCTCTTATCCAAGGAAAAGTGGCTAGAGGATGCATGCGCGAAAACGGAAGTAGCATGCAAAGAAATCTTTAAGGAAAGGATACATTGAAAGTAGACTTGGTCACCAAAGGGCTGGAAGGTTCTAGAGCCTTTTGAAGCAAGGCCGCCTAATGTGAGCCGACACCGGATCTCCACAGTCATTCCGGCGAAAAAGATGGCCACGATCATCTTCAAAGACAATGTCTTTGGTGGAATTAAATTCAACGCCGACTACGGCGTTCTCACGCTTATCGTCATCATTAAGATCCCGGAAGTGGAAATTATCACGGCATCACTGATGCAATCTATCAGCTTCTTGGAAAGATAAGTCACTCCCAAGAAACAAACATAATCCCAGCTATTTAATTGCTGAGTTAAATTATAATGACGGTAGAAGGCGAAGAAAGGTGTTATTGGAGGGCGCCGACAAGCTGTAGTATTTACAGAAGGTGGCAGAAACGATGATTCGGCCGAGAGGAAAGGATGTGGAAACTAGGACTGTACGAGTTAAAGTCGTAGGTAACAGCTGCTACTCATAAAAGTTGCGAAACCTTAACTAAGTGACTGACTCGGGCTATCTGGGAGCCTAGATGGCTTCCCAAATTAAAAACGGGGATTGTCCGCTTAAATTAAAGAGGTTAACGCGGCTGCCATCAACAAGGAGAGTAGGCGGACCTTGCAGAAAGAAACACTTCGTGCTGAGCGGTCGGTTAAATAAAATCTACGGTTAATCAATGACGGACATAGGTCTATGTTCTATAAAAGAGAATAGGAGATTACACAGCACTCATGATCTATGAGGACCAAATAGTAAAAGATATTAGGGGATGGCACGTTGCAGATGAAGTGGATAATCTCAGAAATCACAAGAACATAATCTATGAGTTAAGGTGGGTAAGGTAGTAAGTCGACGCAATGTGCAAGCCAATGAGGCTTTACTTACCGGAAGTTGAATGGCAAGGTGCTGAAGGATGCAGTAAACAGGGGCAGTAAAACGTCAACACATGGAAACGGGATAGGAATATTGGCAGCCGCCCGCAGGGTCTAAACCAGTAGAAGGGCTCAGAGAAAGGCTTCAAAGGAGAAGCTCGGTGATCCTTGAAAGGCCAGACGTATTATGTGCAAAGGGATTAAACGCTGCAACGAGAAAATATGCTCACAGCTCGTTGATGAAATATAAAACTATTCATGAGGTAGAGGTTACAAGAACGTCTGAATAAACAAAGTGGTATGTCGTCCAGACTTACAAATCAAGCTATCATAGAAATAGCCGTAAAACTGTCTTCAAGGCGTCAAAGACGAAGAAAGGAAAGGCTTGTGGTCCATGGTAGCATTAAGATGACCTCGACGAAGATTATTATTAAGACGGGCGGAAATTTGCGTGCGAAAAACATTAGGGCCGTATGGAATACGGTTAGAAACTGTGGAGCACTTGCTAACCAGCTACCCGAAAATCCTCCGATAAATGGCCACTAAATTTCTGCAAGAAAGCAATTTTCCGAATTGGTTGAAAGAGGTTAAGCTAATACCCATATCAATCCGTGGTAAGTCTGTGGCTTAAATGAACTTGATCAAGTTCATTTAAGTCACGCTGTATCAATGCAGCGGATAAGGCACTCAAAGCTCCTATCATTAAAAGACTGATCAGCGAAAAGGAGTTGAAAGGAACGTTTGCATACGAGCAGTTCGGATCTATAAATGATCGATCAACTCTTTTGGCTGTAGGTTGGAAGTCCTAAAGCGCACACTTGGTCCTTCAGCATATCCAAAGGGAAGGAAAGCAGACAACGAAAATGAATGCCCCCTGTTTAGCTAATATTCTAGACGTGCGGAGTTTCTTCTTTTCGATAAAGTGGAATTTGGTTTTATATACACTGTAGAAAAAAAGTACGCCTTTATATCCATGAAGCATTGTCATACGCAGAAAATCCACAGTTCGATGCGCTGCCCCTGTCTACATACAAGCTATAAAATTAAAGGAGAATAAGGGCTATTTAACGAAAATACAGTACGTGTTTGCTTTCCGAATAAGTAGAGCATTCTAAATCATCCCGCCCCTCTCTTTCGCACCAAGAAACACCACAGCCAAGCAGCAGAAGAAATGTATCAGCAGCAGATATTTACACGAGAGACTTCTAAAGAAGACACTTCAAAAAGCACAAGAAGTGTCGCTACCTGGAAATGGATAGTGGTATCGGGAACCAGGGAGTGGTACGAAAACGGCTTAGGAGCAGATACCCAGCGCCTGATCAACGTCTTCAATGGCTATCAATGTTTCCAAGCGTTATAATAAAAAAACATCGTATGCAATGCTAACATGTGTGGTGTTGTGACTCACATGCTGAAGCGCTACACACTCTTCAAGGAGGAAATTGCAAAGAGGGCGCCCATTTAGGACCGACGCCGTGATGAACTAGATGCCTCAGAACGGAGAAAGCTAGACAGCAACGTGCAAGTACATAAGAAAGGCTATAAAGCTCACCGAGAAATAAAAGCGACTAAAACAAAGGCAGGATGCACGGCTCTCCCGAACCCTGCGTTAAGTGCAAGAGAACCCCTTGTCAAAAGAGTATTAGCAAGCATCAACGCAGGGCTAGGAATAGAAATGAGTGAATTTAACGGGTAGTTTGAAGTAGCTAGCTGAAACCGCACTTCGCCATAGCATAACATAACACGGAGGTAAGGTATCCGCAAATCGAATTCACGCATTAACTTCACTGAAGTTAGAGCCATCTTTACGAGATCCCTATAAATATGCTCTTTGTGACGCTGCGGTGATGGCTTACATCCCTTCGGCCCACCCGAAGTCCGTGTAGGATGGAAAGACATGCAGAGCTAACTGTGATTATTTAGGAAACCCCACGAAAAGTAAGAGCGCCTTCGCCGCTTGAGCCAACTAATTTGGCGCTTCCTTTAGGAAAGAGGGCTATATGGCGTAACTACATCATTACGATCTGAAAGAGAAATGCGTAATAAAAAACGTAACTGTTTCATTCACATTAGTCGCTCGTATGTTAAGATGGATAGCCAATAAGATGGATAGCGGAACACGCGAACGCAAAAAAGATGCAAAAGTACACCGTTTTTACGCTCCCTTTACTTCATTCATGATGGGAATCATTGGACTTGTCAGTAAAGGATCTGAAATATTTCAAAACTTTAGAGAACACGACTTCTAACAGGGATAATAAGCGGAAAGGGGACTATCTGAGGTAGCTGCTGCCGCTAGCGGTAAGAAAGCAGCACGTCTATTTTAGATGCAATGAGAATGAAATATTCGTATAATTATTGGATAACAGTAGGATTAATAGTATTCATGTATCAATAAATTGTGACTTTTGTACTTGTGAAGTTTAGAAAAACAATTAATTTAATATTTTAGTAATTTAATCGTATTTTGATTAAAAAATCCATATTTATACATAGAATTTATTTATAAAGTCACCCCGCGACAAAAAAATGTGATAATACAAAATGATTTTAATACAGCAACATTACCACAGTCACCTATTTTTTGTTATAAAAATTTATAAATAAATGTAACTCACCTAGCCTTCTTGCACCTCTGGGGTTGTATACGTAATACATTAACCGATGACCGGACGCTAATTAAAAGGTAACTTTGTTCATCTCTTGTTTTGATGTATTTTACAGAGCGAGTAGACGGTAACGGTATGAATGGTTGCCACTTTAGTGCCCCTGAGGTTCTGCGAGGTCTAGGTTATGGTAAACCTAGCGACATATGGTCGTGCGGTGTTCTTCTCTATACGCTGCTTTGTGGATCACTTCCCTTCAATGGAACGGGTGACAGGCTCGAAGAACTCATCTGTCGCACTAAATATGTGGTAGGTTTCTGAAGCAGAGCACATTTCTATAACACTTTTGTCGGATTGCTTTAAAACAACCATTCGATGATGAAATAGAATTATTGCTGTGTTATAAAAAATCATCCGTAAAAACACACAAGTAACTAGTTATTATCTTCTCGATACAAGGCCATTTGACTCTTTTCTATTACGTAGGCAGCATTTTGGGCTCTTTCCATGTTGTCAACCACTGACCATTAGGGCCTCCCATAATGTCTTATGTGTTGGTATTGAGCTAATGGGAACCAACCATCTGATCGTGTAAGGTATTAAAGAATCACTAAAATTCCTACTTCTACACTTAGTAGACAAGGATGAGGAATTTTACCTAAATTGCCTATTCAATTGAGCACATGGATGGACGTAGAGACAAAAACTGATAATTAGTGGTATAGACTCAACGGTATCTACGACTTATCATTTAGGATGTATACTCCTATTATAATTATTACAGAATATTGGATAGATATTACTTTTTGGCGTTTAGTTAGACAACTCTAGCGGTTTGAGGACGGTGCGCCCATGTATAATTTTATTTGATAGAAGCCAGTTTATATTTTTCATAATCTTTATTCGAATACTTGAAAAAACGATAATATGGCAATTTTTTTGCCAGCTTAGTGATTTTTGAGCTGCAAGTAGTCTGGTTATTGGCGCAGAGTTAATTTGAGTTCGTTGATCTAATTTCTAATGCTCTATAGGAAAGAAAGCGGAAAAAACAAACGAGGTATGTCTAAGCTCAATAGGTCATACATTTTGCTTCAAGAAACTTCAGCTACGTTCCTTTAGTTATTGCAAGCACAATCATTGTTTTCGCTACGCTTTCTTTAGCGCTTATTCCTTGACCTGTATAGCACAGTGGACTTTGTAATACAACTGCATTTCAAATTAGAAGTTGAAGTGGAGGGTTTGAAACTTATGCCCTACGATATTCATATTAACCTTAATGAAGCCCTCATGCTAATATCTCAAAGTTACTCTTGCAATTTCTTTTGTGCCACAAACATAAGGGTTTCAATTCGAGAACTTTGCTTCTTTTAAAGACAACATTACGTTTCTTTAATCACTGTAATCGCATTTACGCCTCTTGACTTTCCATTTACAGGTAAGGGAATTAAGTGGCCAATTTGATTTTAGAAAACTTCCGCGTTAGTCTTAGGATGTAGCGAATCAGAACTATAAAGCGGATTTACGAAGCGCTGTCATTAAACAGATTTTTTTTTTCAACAGTACTCTTAGGCTTGAAAAGAGCAGCGGCATAACTGTGAGGCCTATGTGGATGTAAAATGAAGCATTAAAATTAAAATCTGATAATATTTCTCTTAAACTGAAACAGACTACTGATGTTTAGAGGAACAGTTTCGGGAACAGCAAAAGGTACTTGGAATTATGTAATAACACCGCAGGGTACATACTTTTACTTGCAAACGTGCCAATTACGTATATTATGTTTCTGTCTCCCTGAAGGAGTTAAATTTGAGAAGTCTTTTCACTGTAGGCACGAAGATACATGAGAGCTAATGTTTTGAGCCTCTGAAGATCTACCCGCTTATAAGCTGAAGTGAAGGAAAAAGCTTATAATTTAAAGATTCGCCACAAGTCTTCGATATCATAACATTGGTTTCAAAGCTATAGAAGAGGCAGAGTAGTTCGCGAAAGCATATTTTTAATATCATCCAAAAATTAATCTTGAGCTTTTTAGTCAGAGTCTGTAGTGATTGTGAAGCCTGAGATTTAATGATCGTTCATTTTTCATCAAAATATTGTTGCTCGCGGTAGGAAAACAGTTGCCAACTACACCAGTTTTGGTATCGATTTCATTGCCACCTAAACCACGTTAGTGATAGATTTCCCACTCAGGCATCACCAAAGAACAGTGTTTTTTTGAGAGACTTCTACGGGTGTCTACAGAGTGTAAACTAGACTCACGGCCTTATGATGGCCCCTTTTTTGCGGTCATTAAATGTCCGACTGGGTAGATACCAAGGCGTATGTCCAGAGAGGTTTCCCTATCGATAAGGCGTCGCCAAACACAAAAGTGTACAATCTACTGCAAGCAAAGTGTAAAAGCTCCTGCAGTGTTGACAAGATAGGGAGCACGGAGTCAGTGCGAAAATTCTATTCAGGCACCGGTGCAACACCGCTACTAACGTTGACTGCAGTATTTCACTGAACCCCACTTCTAGCTGACAAACAGAATTATCTTCAATAAGATATTGACCCTTTCTGGGGAAAGCCTTCTGTATTATTTACTCGTTCTTGCTATAATGGTTCCCATTCACGAGTATATACTTTAGCCAATCGAATACACAGCACGAAACGATTACGAAAATTGTTCACGCTTTCTTGGGCTATAGAAAACAATAAGTAAATTTGAATCCATATAATAAATAGGGTATTCCAAAGTACTCTAATTACTACTTCAGCACAGGATTAACGCAAAAAAAAATGCAGCTCAAGCACACTGAGAATATTCTGAGAGAGGCATCGACGCGCATCTTAAATTTCCTAAAACACAATAGAAAAGCAATCGCAGTTAATTTGGAACTCATAAATTAGTGATGGCTCTTTACTCACTACAACTCGATTGCGGATTGATATCACGTTGTTTTCTTGTATCTGCGCTCGTTTAACCAGGTCAATTGCTCTATTCTTTTGCGCGTTAAACTTTTTTTCACTCGTTTTACAATTGAACTGCAGTTAAGTCATATGCATACCTTGTAATACCGACTGGGTGGCTAGGCGACATAAAGTTGAAGAAGTTCCTTTCGGTAGCAACTGAATGTGTACCTCTCATGAAGTTGCCGCACCGGCCCGTGCTCACTGCGTGACTGTTGATAAAGTGCTACATTACTAAAATACCTAAACGGAACTACTTCCAACTAGACGGTGCAATCTAATGCATGCTTTAATCACACTATTACTTCCAAGGTTCACGTTGCAAAATTTCGTCGGATTAAGTGAAAGTACTGCCTCAATCCAGGCTAAACGCCGCCAGTCTTTTTTGACGAAGTTGTTTGTTCTCGTTGTATCTTTACCTATTGGCTTTACTGAAACTTTCGAAAGAGGAATTCTTCCAGTTTTTTGAAAACCACTTCAGAAAGCTATAGATCTGTTGGTCATATCTGTTCATCTAATAGAAAGAATTGTCATTGATTTAATACACTACTTTATGCTATCAAAAAAATTCCTTGGTCCCCAAAAAGATGGCTTAGAAAGGAGTTTGCAACTCCTATAAGTATGTTATAATCGGGCCACCGCAAGCAACACTGCTCAGAGTTGACATGTAATATACTGCAAGTTATCGCGTATCTTCGAAAAACTTCATTGATGTCTCTGACGGCTGGTTAGCGGCTGCATGGTGCCAACCTTTTTCACTAAGCAACCTGTCCCTCCGGGATCTGTCAGGGCCCAGCCCAGTAAACAATTTTCGCGCAGAGCCTAGAGGCGCGTCCCAACAAACAGCAACTACTCAAAAAATGTGCCAATGACCTAAATATATATGGAAATTCGAAATAGCCAGACCCGCTAAGAATTCATAGAGCAATTGACTGCACTTCCGCATCATATGCGAGCTATTTTACTTAGATCAGCAGGCTATGAAGGAACAAATTGATTGCTAACATTTGGGAGTTCCCTTTTATAGGCAAATAAAATATAGAATCATATAATAGATACGGCCTCTCGCATCAGCAGTCTTATTCTTAATATATCTTCAGTGAAGCACATGTTCAAAATATGGGATTATATGATTCTTCGGCTTGATCTAGATAGATATGTTGTGCCCACGTATAAATACTCCTCTCCTAGAACGATATTAAAAAAAGTTAATTCAAGACATGTAAAGAAAGCAGGATAATATGTTTGCCGTTACTGGCGCTGATCGGCATTTAGTATCTTCTAGAATGCGTGTCTCTGCTCTAACATTAATTTTCTAATGGCCGTCAGTGAAGACCTTCGCTATTTAGGAAATAAGCTTATAATATCATTATCCATCTTTCCAAAGGCAGAAATGTCTCGTCGTAAGTGGTTTCTTATCACAACGCCTTGATATTGAAGGTTGGTGTCCAAAGGATGAGGATAAATTAAACGAACGTCTTTGGCTGGCAAAAATAATTATATTTTCACAAGATGTTAAAACAAACAATTATTCCTTGAAGACCGAGTTAGAATAGCACGACGCGCAGAATTGATCTAAAGATTTTACATGGTACCCTGCTATATGCTCAATAAATAGTAAACAACGCGAATAGATCATGCTATAGTACAAATATATATCATATGCAAACTACGAGATAGGCAACTAGGTATATTCCTGTGTACATATATACAATATTTAAATGAATGAAATTCTTGATGGCTTCTAAGTTTTTAAATTAAACTTAAAAAAAATTGACAAAATCTAATTACTTACAGAGTTAGCTAAATATATGGATGTTTTTAGGTAGGAGATTGCCTTTGTAAGCTGGGACCTTCGGTATACAAATTAAGGGTGGTGCCAGCCAGTTATCTCAAGCGTGTGAGCTTATGTTTGTTACGATATCACTATATGTGTGACGTTACGTTTAAATGCGTTTGCTTGTTAGCTATATTTAAATGAAAGCAGATTCTTGGATGAAATTATTTGTATGCCCCGCTTCTGACGGGCGCTTATATAGCTAATACTCAGTTCCGCCACGGAGTCAATTTCTAGTCTACAAACTTGTGACAAAGTATCACCATACATATTTGCGAAGTGGCGACAAGCACGTTTCCCTTCACAAGCACGACAAGCATGTAAAACCTTCACTCAGTTATGCTAATAATCCGCTAGATACAGAAGTTACGCTGTTGAAAGGCTGTAAGTTTTTCTTCCGAAAAATGCATGTCTACTCAATTAAAGACACACTAATTTGCTAGTATGAGCATGTACATTATCAAAAAACTCTTGCTTTCGCCATGATCAAATCATAGGCTTGCCGTAGAAAGAGGCTCTACTA